GTAGTTCTGTGAATGTAAATTTAATATGAAAACAAATTGCAACCCTTCTAAGGAGTTTATAGTTTCCTACATGCTGTCGTGAGAACTTGATCTCTGCAGCTCTCCGTCTCATTGACTGTTTTCTCATGGCCAGCTTGTAAAGGGCAGTGAAGGACAGCACTCTGAAGGAAGTGGATAGAGCATCCTTCCAGAGCTAGTGTGTGTCACAGCTGTCTCTCTGGACTTGCTCCAGCTCCGGCTCAGTGGCTCTTACAGAAAGGAAATCTTAGAGGCCTGCACTGGGGGCTCAGAACATGGTGCTGAAGGACACTTGCTTCCCAAGAATCCCCAGTCTGTGAGACGTGTTTATAATTATACTTCTCATCCCCATGCAGCTGGCCTCTTAGAGCACTCTATTCCTTTAGGTGTCTTCAGCCTCTTCCTGGCCATCCCTACTGCTGTGGCTTTTCTTCAGGCACTTGATATTTTCTCTGGGATAATTTCTACAATTTAGTTTTTGACTTTCTTACTATTTTTTTCTGTTTTCTGTGTCCTTATCCCCAAAATCCTGGAAAAATTCAGAATCAGTAAGAAGTTAGGCATGGTTATAAATTATTTTAATGAGAGTATGTAAAGCTACAGTGTAAATGCCTATAAAAGACCATGGTAACAATAAGAAAAGGGATAATTAACTCAAAGCATTTGCAGTCAGCTTCAAATAGGGTAATCAACCCATTGATTATGAAGCCATGTTTGAATTGTACCGTTTCTATAGCAAGCTTATAAGGGAGTCTTTAGTTCTGTTCTAAATCAGAATAAAGGTTCATTTGGTAATTTAAAGATTTGGAAAGTATATTTCTAGTTTCCAGTAGTAACCAGATACAGAGATGTAATCGATATGTAAAACTAAACACTGTTTCCCCACTGTTTTAAGAATAAAGGCATAAGCTAGTCTGTGTCAATATATAAGGATCAGAAATGCATACTGGTTATTCAAAACCTTCAGCAGCTCCTGTATATATGAAAGGAGGTCCAGGAAATACAAGGTGCTTGCTTCAGCAGTCGTGGCTGTTGGATGCTTAGGCTGCTGATTCAGTCAACATAAATGCACCTAAGCTTACAGATAGATGTTTCCAGATAACTTGCTTACTGTTCATGGGTTTCTGATGTAGATAGCAATTGATTTTAAAACAACATGTTTTAAACATACATCTCCAAAGTCAGACAGTCTCTGCTTTGTTCACCTCTTACATAGACTCCCAGTCTACACTTGAGGAATAGTTTTGCTATTGTAAAATGGTATCATGAGTGGTAGTGTAGATGACCATGCAGTGACCAGGCTGTTGGCTTTAGTCAATAAGTGACCATCATGTGCTGGAAACAGTCTTCCTCCAGTCCTCAAGAGCATCAGGAGCTTTGGGGTGGCACAGTGATTCAACTTGGTAATGAGGAATGTGACTTGTCAGCAAAGAGGGAGCCAATCACATATACGTGCTTCTAAGAAAATAAGACTACCTTTAATTGATCAGTTTATTTACGTAAGTAGAAAACTAGGCTAAAGAAAGCCAATTTTCTTGTGCTTTTTTTTTTTTGTCTTTGTTTTTCAGATGGGAATAATAACATGAACCTAATATAGGCATGTGAGACATAGAGGTAGGAGGAGTAGTTAGTTCAAGGTCAGCCTAGGCTAATAAGATCTTACCTTTAAAAACAAAACACCTCTTCATAGTATAAAAATGAATATATAGTCCCAACATTCTGAACCAATAGACTCTTCAGTGTCATATCACAATCTGTAGTAGCCCATACCCATAAGAAGCTGAGGCAAGAAGACTGTACATTTGGGGCCAATTCAGTCTGCTTAGCAAGTTTAATGGCCAGCCTGGGGTATGTAATGAGAACTTCGTGTCAAAAAGCAAAGGATAGAATGCTTGCTTGTGTGGGGTCGTGGATTTCATCTCCAGCAGCCTCCTTAAATGAAAGTCTGTTTCATAATGATCATCATATCTCTGATTTTTGGTTTACTTATAAGTAGAGTGGCAGACCTACACTCCAAAGGATTATTGCCAGGGTAGCAGGAAAATGTTTGTTGCAAGATCCCTTTGCCTTCTCTGCACTTCCATATGTAACCTGTGGGTAAGCAGTCTTGTTCAGAATGAGTTTGCCACAAGAAGGCAGAAAACAATCAAACAAATAAAAAGGTATATGTCCTGGCTGCTGTGTGTTTATTTCTGTAATGGTAGTCAGTCCCTACTTTCCAGAATCCTGAAGGAGTTTATGGCTGTGATCACTTTTCTTGTCCATGAACAGAGAGTTAAATTGTGAAAAGTTTGTGACCTGTAACCATACCATTGTACCATTGTAAGCCATAAAATTAATAACCTGTCTGTCATCTTAGCTTTCTCTTTTAGTCCTAGAGAACATGAAATTCTAGGTAATTGTATAAAATAGGTGTTCTGGTGGTTCTGTGATGTAGACTTCGTAGCACCATTCAGCAAAGAACTATAAACAAAAGCTGCTGTTTTAGTGTGGCTTGTGGTTTTGTTTTGTTTGTATTTGAACTTTTTTATGCTTGCACAAAGTCAGTACTCACTCATTTGGCATTTTCTTTTGGGGAAGGAGTTAAATACATACTTAGAACCTCCATTTAAGTCACTTCAGTAATTGTGCACATGTATTTGATTTAGCTTGTCTTTACTAGGCTGCAATTTTTTTAAAGATTTATTTATTTATTATGTTTACAGTGTTCTGTCTGTGTATATGTCTGCAGGCCAGCAGATCTCATTACAGATGGTTGTGAGCCACCATGTGGTTGCTGGGAATTGAACTCAGGATCTCTGGAAGAATAGTCAGTGCTCTTAACTGCTCGCTGAGCCATCTCTCCAGCCTGATTTTTTTTTTTAAGAACAGGAAATACAGGACTGGGTAAATACTTAAGTGGGCAAGTGTGCTTGCCCCACAAAATGAGGTTTGAGCACCACAACCGCAATAAACAACACACTTGCTGGAATATTCTAGAGAGGAAGAGATGACAGTCGAATCCCTGGGGTTTGCTGGCCAGCCAGCCTAGCCTACTTGGTGAACTCTAGGTCAATATGAAACCTTCTTATAAAATAAAGCAGAGAACAGTTAAGGACAACAGCAATGCCAACCTCTGCTCCCCACATACAGGTGCATGTGCACCTGCACACATTTAAATAAAAGCATGAGAGATACAATAATTAGAAGATACAAGCAGAATTGGAAGGAAGCCATTTAGGTCTTTGTAGAAGTCTGCACCCAGGGTACTGTGGGTGGGAATGAAGGCTGGTAGGGAAACTAAGTAAAGGAGCTTAGGATGAGTTAGATGTTGGTGCATCTGAACCTGAGGAGTCAGGATGACAGGTTTCTAGATTGTGTTATGTCCTTTCCCTCCTGTTTCTGTGCTGGGTTCTCTAGACTGTGTTCCCTACCTCTACTGAGTTAGCTCGGCGCACTGTGTTTATAGAAACTGTCCACCATAGTCTTTCTTCTCTGGAATTCTGAATATAATTACCATCACACAAACCACATGATCTTCATACTCCAGAGTTCATCTTTGTCTTATTCTTCCTTACCTACTGTGAAAATGACTCCCTATAGGCTCAAGGAGAGTGGCGCTGTTAGGAGTGTAGCCTTGTTGGAGTAGGTATGGACTTATTGGAAGAAGTGTGTCACTGGGGTTGGTCTTCAAGGTTTCAGATGTTAAGCCAGGCCCAGTGTCACTCACTCACTCTCTATGCTGCCTGCCAATCTGCATGTAGAGCTCTGAGCTCCTTGTCCAGCACCAGGTCTGCCTGTATTCACCCATGCTTCCCGCTATAAGGATAATGGACTAAAGCTCCGAATTGAAAATCAACCCCAATTAAATGTTTTCCTTTATAAGAGTTGCTGTGGTCATGGTGTCTCTTCACAGAAATAGAACAATAACTAAGATACCTACCCGGTACCCAACATGGACCTGGGACAGGACCAACACCCTTGGTGAAAAAGCAGTGCCAATTATAGCCACCTTGGGCTGCTACCATGTGACCACATCAGCAGGATGTCTGGGGCTTTCCTCACTCATTTATACAGGTCCACTTTGCTTTTTCATTTTTATTTCACCTGCACCATAATGTATGTCTGTGCACCATGTGTATAGCTGGTGCCCATGGAGGCCAGAGGAGGGAGTTGGATCCCTTGGAACTGGGATTATAGATGATTATGAGCCTCTGTGGGCTGGAGACTGAACCCTTAATGGCCGAGCCATTTAATTTCACATTACTAAATACACTGGGGAAAGGGTAAAGAAGGAAGAGTATTGGATTTTTCTGGGACATACTTATATTTAAAATGAGTGATGACCTGTTACCTAAAATTCTATCACAAATCTGTTGCATCATAAAATGGTAGAGAATGATAAATGTGACAGGACCCAGTCTCTGTGCCAGGACCCAGTCTCTATGCCAGGCAAGGCCTCTACTACTCCACCATATTCCTAATCTTTTGGTGTTGATTTATTCTTGAGACAGACTTGCTAAACTTTCCAGGTAAGCCTTGAAATGCTGTCCTCCTGCCTTAGCCAGAGTAACTGAAATTTCAGCTACTGCACCTCCACGCCTGGTGAGATGGGACTTTTTGGCTGAGTTACAGCTTGTTTTTCATTCTTTCTGTTGACTCTGTTTTTATGAGACCCGGCTTAGAAAATCTAGTCTATATTTTTAAATTTTCATTAAATCTAATTAAATGCAAGTTGTCCTAGTGTCTGCTGTAATAAATTCTTTATAGCATAGTTGAGAACAACAGACTAGATTAAAACATACAAGTTATATTGCTCTGATCATTCAGACAACAGGAAGGAAAGCAGTTACATTTCACAGTGCAATCATCGGTGTATGCTCAGGAGTTGCTTCTCTCTAACAGGTGGTTTTCTTCTCTTGTTCAGGGCGCTGTTTGGGGACAGCCATATCTCTGATTCCATAAAGCAATTTTCTATGTAAAGTTTGCAAAGGATCAGAGCAATGCCTCCACGACCATCGTCGGGTGAACTGTGGGGCATCCACTTGATGCCCCCACGAATCCTAGTGGAATGTTTACTCCCAAATGGAATGATAGTGACTTTAGAATGCCTCCGTGAGGCTACACTAATCACCATAAAACACGAACTGTTTAAAGAAGCCAGAAAATACCCTCTGCATCAGCTTCTGCAAGATGAATCTTCTTACATTTTCGTAAGTGTTACCCAAGAAGCAGAAAGGGAAGAATTTTTTGATGAAACAAGACGGCTTTGTGACCTTCGGCTTTTTCAACCCTTTTTAAAAGTAATTGAACCAGTAGGCAACCGTGAAGAAAAGATCCTCAATCGAGAAATTGGTATGATATAATTTTCAGCTAACTGACATTGTTATTGCTAAACTGCAAATAACTGACATCTACTCTTTGTTTCATTGTTAACATACTTTGTCTGAATTAATACCTTTGTAATCTTTAAGGATATATTTTTTTAAATCTAACATAGTTTTTTTTTTTTAATCACTGAGCTATAGAATATTATAACACTTTGATATTCTGTATGGTTTTCCTTAAGAAATACAGTTTGGAGGAAGACTTAGATTTGTTATAGCCAAGTTTTATTATTCTGTAAAATAGTTGATAGTGAATGATTCTACCATAATATTAATATATGTATGCAAACTACATATATTTAAAATTCTTGAGCCTTCATCAACTCTTAAAAATAAATTCATCAGATACTTTTTTAACTCATAGAAACTTGTTGACTCTTATGCTTTTCCAAATGTGTGCAGTTCTGTGTTTGTAAGAACCACATCTGCCTTGCATTCTTTATAAATATCTTATGTTTTAGGTTTTGTTATCGGCATGCCAGTGTGTGAATTTGATATGGTTAAAGATCCAGAAGTCCAGGACTTCCGAAGGAACATTCTGAATGTTTGCAAAGAAGCTGTGGATCTGCGGGATCTCAACTCCCCTCATAGCAGAGCAATGTATGTCTACCCTCCCAACGTAGAGTCTTCCCCAGAATTGCCAAAGCACATCTACAACAAGTTAGATAAAGGTAAGGAGACAGGCACACAGTGAAGTCCTTTGTCAATGCACTGATTTCTTCTGCACAGTTGCTTTTTGCTGGCTGGATTACAGGGTTTTTGCTGGCTGGATTTGCAGGCTTTCAGGCAAGGACTGCTGCTCCATGAGAGTCAGTGGTAAGTGACACCTTGTGGACAGGAAGCGCACACTCACTGACTCATCCCTTGCTGAACACTTCTCACTGAAACTGAAGAACTGAGTTTAGAATTCACTGGTGCATAGAATGTGAACCGAATTAGAGCTGATTATCTTTTTTTTTTTTTAAACAAATAAAAACAGAAGGAGCTGTTGTATAGAGCATTTGCCTCACAAGAACAAGGCCATGGGTTTGATTCCTCAGCACCATCAAAAAAAGAAAAAAGAGTTCATAAAACAAGCACAGACACAGACTTTTTAAATCATCTGTCCTGTGACAGGAAGACACTGTTATGCATCACTGTGTCTTTTAGTTTCCTAAAGACAAGTTTCAGGAAGTTTGTGCTCTGTTCCTCTAACCATAACCAGAAATGGTGTCTAGTTGTCCTGACTAACTAGAGGTGAAGATATGATGTGTAGTTAGCCTGACTGATTAGAGGTGAAGATACGATGTGAGATGAAAATACGATGAGTAATTAACCTGACTGACTAGTGGTGAAGATACAATGTCTAGTTAACATGACTGACTATGAAGATATGATGTTTAGTTAACCCGACTGACTAGAGGTGAAGATATGATGTGTAGTTAACTGACTAGAGGTGAAGATAACGATGTCTAGTTAACCTGACTGACTAGAGGTGAAGATAGGATGTCTAGTTAACCCTGCTGACTAGAGGTAAAATACGATGTCTATTAACCTGACTGAGGAGAAGTGAAGATCTGGTGGAAACAGACAATGTTCACATCTGGCAGATTCTCAATGTCCAGGGCTCAGTTGGTCTTAATAAGAGAAAGATTGAAAATTCCTTTCCTCTTTGCCCATGTAGTCTCTGACTCTTCTTCTATCTTTGCTCCATTCTAGTGTACTCTTTCCTTTGAGTAGTTTTATGAACTACTCAAGCCTCTTGAGTCACTCTCTGATGTACATCTTGCAGTTTGAAGTGGAGATGAGCTCAACCTTGGGTTCTGGTAATCCACTAGCCCAGTCAAGAAGGAGCCTAGGATGTTGTGTGAAAGTCTGCCAGGTGTGAACATTACCTGTTTCTGTCAGATCTTCACCTCTAGTTAGTCAAGTTACCTAGACATTGTATCTGGTTGTAGTTATAAGAACAGAAAGTGAAAACTTCTTGAAGCTTGTTTTCAGAGAAATGAAATCGACACAATGATGCATCCAACAGTGTTTCTTGTTACAGGACAAATCATAGTGGTGATTTGGGTAATTGTCTCTCCAAACAATGACAAGCAGAAGTATACCCTGAAGATCAACCACGACTGTGTGCCAGAGCAAGTCATTGCTGAAGCCATCAGGAAGAAGACTCGGAGCATGCTGCTCTCGTCTGAGCAGCTGAAACTCTGTGTTTTAGAATACCAGGGCAAGTATATTCTGAAAGTGTGTGGCTGTGATGAATACTTCCTAGAAAAATACCCTCTGAGTCAGTACAAGGTGAGTCATGTGTGCCCACACCAGGTCTGCATATGTTCTTAGCACATACTTTTAACCATTAATAGTTAATATTAGCAAACAGAATCTGTAAGCTTATTTATTCTATATTTTAATTTTGCTTAATACTAATAGCGAGTTTCACTGAAATGACATTTTTCTTTGTGAGTTTTGTCATTTTGTTTTGTTTTGTTTTGCCACTACCAAAGATGGAACCTAGGACCTCATGAATGCCAGCCAGGTCTTCTACCACTGAACTATATCCTCCAGTGGTCATTTATGACATATATGTATATTATGTGTTTTGATCATATTTGCCCTCATTGGTATGAATGTGTTTTCCTACTCCCTCCAATACACTTGCTTTCAACCAGCCCCCTTCTGTTTAAGTTTATGTTTAAATCATGTAATTATTTGAGAGTCTTAAGATGGAGCAGTTATATTAACCACAAAGTAAGAAGTAGAAGTAGAATCTTGGTCTATTACAATCATTACTGACCTTCCTGTTTCTCTGTCAACCGAGTATATCCCTCTGAGAAGCAATGGTAGCATGTGTAGACCAGTCACTGTTTTTATAATACAGACACTGGCCTTCAGTTGCTGATATGTGGGAAAGTAGGAGTTAAGATGTATATAAAGTAGCATGGATCAAAAATCTGTATCCTAGGGGCCAGCAATATAGAAGAGAACCAACTTTAACTTCCTTTGAACTTCATGCATGTTCTGTTACACATGTGCATAAATAAGTATATATAATTTAAAAATCTTTATCTTGGATATGGGGAGATGGAGCAGTTGGTACAGTGTACAAGTCTGAGGATATCCCTAGCACCTACAGAAGCACCAGGCGTGGCAACCTGTGCCCAGTGTCTCAACACTAGGGAGGCAGAGACGGGAGGATCCCTGGAGTTCTCTGGCCAGCAGTCCTGGTCATTAGTGAGCTCCATGTTCAGGAGACACCCTCTCAAACAAACAAACAAAAAACAGGTGGAAAGTGATTGAGGAGGCCACCTGACCTTGAACTCTGCACATACATCCTGCTATTTCAAAAACTCAGACCAGTGCCTTTTAACATTTTTTTTAATATCTCTATAACTCTGAGTTTGGAATTTTGTTTGTTCGAGACAGGGTCTCATATAGCCCAAGCTGGCTTCAAACTGGCCATGTAGCTAAAAAAACCTGAAACCCTCATCTTTCTCTGTCCACTCTTCATATGTTAGGATTTCCAGTGTAGGTGAGCATGCCAGCTTATTTATGGGACTTTACTGTTTCAATAAAATAAATGTCAGGAATTGGTGGAGGGGAGTGTGCAGGCTTTGGCCCTGAGAAAAGGCTTCATTGTGACGTCTGATGTAGACTGTCAGGCTTACCAGAGGAAGCTGCTCTTCCCTTACAGCAATCATTTCTGATCCCTGGTCTTAGTGTTTTGCATTTAAGGGTAAAAGTTGGCCCTGACTGTTTACTTTATAAGTATATTCAGAAGTCGTTGATGAAACTAACTCCACTTTAATAAATAACAAGAAGTGTGGTCTATGCTTAATTTTAAAAATCACCTTTTTAAATGAATGTATAAATGCTCATAACCTTCTTACATGTTATATTTGGGATGAAGAACCTTAGGGGAAATGGCTTCTTCCCTCACTCTGTGATCTCTTCCAGTACATAAGAAGCTGTATAATGCTGGGGAGGATGCCCAACTTGATGTTGATGGCCAAAGAAAGCCTTTACTCTCAGCTGCCAATGGATAGCTTCACAATGCCGTCATACTCCAGGCGCATCTCCACAGCCACGCCCTATATGAATGGAGAGACAACTACGAAATCCCTCTGGGTTATAAATAGTGCGCTTAGAATCAAAATTCTTTGTGCAACTTATGTAAATGTAAATATTCGAGACATTGATAAGGTAAGATCAAATGCTGGTGTTTATTCTATGTAAGTCATTTTTCATTAGCCTAATTTGAGTACAATATAAATCTCAGAAAATACAAATGAGTCATGATGAATTCTGTTTGAGTTATACCTGCCTCAGTTTTCACATAGCTGTGTTTCTATCCATAATTGTAATACCCATAATTGTAGCTTTTTAGTAAAAAGTTTTACAGTCTTTAGTAAAATGTAGTGATCTGACCTAAAGTGGGCCTTTTTATAGTCTTTATTTAATCCCATTATGTGAAAGTCTTTACATCTCCTAACAGAGCTGCGAATGTCTTTGGGAACTGTTCTCTAGTTAGAGAAGTCTTGCCTGACACTGGCCGATCTTGGAACAGTGAAGGCCTCTGTGTTATACATAGTGCCACAGACTTGTGGCTGTGCTAACTTCCTGGTGGTCAGAGGCCTATCAGTAGTGGGTAAAGGCAACAGTTAATTATAAATTTGTACAAAGAAACCATCTGAACAAAACATCTCATGATTCTCTCATTTATATCAGTTAAATTATTTGTAGTGCTTGATTCTGTTGACTGTTCATATGCCTGTGTGTGTGTTGTGTGTATACACTATATGCATAGTGTTCGTTTTCCTTTCTTTCAGATCTATGTTCGAACAGGTATCTACCACGGAGGAGAACCCTTATGTGACAATGTGAACACTCAAAGAGTACCTTGTTCCAATCCTAGGTAAGAGGGTGTTTAGACATGTTTCAGGTCAGTAGTTTTATGGAAGTAATCTGCATGTCCATTATTTTCATAAAGAACATAAGTTCTTTCTGTGACTGACCCTTTCAAATTTTATCCTAAAGGTTTTTCTGCTTCACTCCTGCCATTGTTGCAAGGAGTGAAGGGAACATGGTCAAAGTCTTGTTCTTGTTGACCTGACAAGACCTGAACTCTCAGGTAGTCTCCTTATGGCACCCAAGAAGACATAGTTACAGGGTCTTTGATACAAGACAGTTTACTGTGGGGAAGCAGGTTGTTGGGCCACTTGGACTCATTCTTGCTTAGAAATGCTGAGGAAATAGAAGGTGGTCTAGAGCTTGTAGACCTCCTGTTTCTTTGTCTTTCTTGTGAAAGATATTTGAGGATCAGAGTCAGCCCCCCTGATTTCACAGCAGTAAAGTTCTAGGAGAACTCGGCTGACACTGACAATTGAAGATGGACTTCATCAGGAGGAAGTTCACAAGGAAGAGGGAGACTGAGTTCTGACAACTGGGGGGGGGGGCAGGGATGCCTGTCTTGCCTGTCTTGTTATTAATCTCCAGTGTTGATGACTCTCCTAGAGCCTGGGACAAATTCAAGGAGATGATCACTTGTCTATCAGAGTGAGGGGAGGCAGTTACCACCTTACTTGAGCCACAGTAGGTCGGTCAGTGCATTTTTGAGGTCAGATAGTATACATGACAATTAAGAGTCATTTAAAACAAAAACAGTTTTAATAAATTTCCCACTCATACTTCTTGTTTGCCAAAGTAATGGGTAGCCTGATTGTAGGAGATTTAAAACAAAAACAAAAACAAAAACAAAACCCAAAACAAGTATTTTTTGAGGACATTGTAGACAATCATTTTACAAATTGAAGAAAATCTGCAAATTTACCAATCCAAAGAATTCCAGGAGCCTCCAGGTGAGGCTGCAGAAAATCTGTCCTGGTTGTTTGAGAACCAAGAGTAAGACTTTAGGGAAAATAAGAAGGAAGACTTCATAGTAGTTGGCTACAATGTTGATATTTTAGAAAGTTAAAGTAACTGTCAAAGCCAGCTGTGATAGTGCCTGCAGGTTTTTCCTGCAGGCTTTCCAGAGCCAGAAGAAGGATGATCAGGAGTTCAACTTTATCTCTAGCTACAAAGTAGCTCAAAGCCAGCAACAACCTGGACCGAAAAAACAAAGTTTGTTATACAAACAAAGTTACACAGTTCTCATGTTCATCTTTGCCTCACTAAATTTCTGGTTAGGGACTGGAGAGGTGGCTCAGCAGTACTGCTGTTATTGAGTACACACATTACATTTTCAGCATTCACATTGGGCAGCTCATAACCACCTGTGACTCCAGCTTCAGAGGATCCAGCACCCCCTTCTGGCCTTTACACGAACTTGCACTCACATGCATATACCCCCAGACAAACAGGCTCGTGCATGCACATGCACAATCAACACATTGGACTACATTTATAAAACTATTTCTTAAAAATAACTTGAAGGAGGCTAGAGAGACATCTCAGCGATTAAGCTCTTAAAAACGTGTGTATTCACGAGCACACGGCTAGTGTCCATGGAGGCCAGAGAGTGCAACTGATCCCAGGAACTGCAGTTTTAGTTGTAAGCTAGGAATTAAACCTGGGTCCTCTGCAAGAGCGGCAAGTGATCTACTACTGAGCCATCCCTCCAGCCCTGGTTAGGAAGTCTTGCTGTACAATCATGAGGACAGGAATTAAGGTCTATTAAGATCTCAGCACTTGTGTAGCAAGCTGGGCATCCCACACGTGTCTATAATGCCAGTTCCAGGAGAGGTGTAGACACAGGATCACTGAGGCTTCTGAACTTCCAGCCTCACTGAGTAAACAAGAGCTCTAGGTTCAGGAAGAGACCCTGCTTCAAAGGAGTGGACAGAGATTGATGGAGAACAATACTCACTTGGTCCTCACATGCTTTCATAATGCACATACTAATATGCTACTATAAGCAGATACACATGTATAAATAAATAATTCTTTAAAAAACAAATAACTTTGGTATGTGTTGCAGTGGATGTTAGGTAAAGAAAGGTGCTAGTTCCACTAGACCTAAGGAACAGAGTTCTCTGAGAGAGTGTGGAGGTCCCTTCCTATTTATTTATATGCAGTTTGGGAAAATATCTAAATAAGTCAAGTGTGTCCCCCAAAATAAATACATAGATAAAATTTAAAATACTTTGTGTGGGGGAGGGGAGTGGACACACACTCTGGCAAATGGAGGCCAAAGATTGTGACCCTGTGTTTCATTCTCCAGAGACCCTCCACCTTTCCCTTGAGACATCCGTTGGCCTATAACTGCTAAAGTAAGTTAGGAGGACTGACCAGCAGGACCCAGGGATCCACCTGTCTTTGCCTCCCTAGTGCTGAGATCATAAGTGCACACCACCACACCTGGCTTTTATCATACCAGTTTTAGGAGTTGAATTCAATTCCCTGTGCTTGCTGGGAAGTATTTTATACTGACAGAACCATTTCCCAGCCCTGTATATATTCTTCATTTTATTTATATGCTGACTTATTTAGATTAGGGAGTCGTTCTGAATGAAACTGATTACATATAAAAATAAATGTAACTGTAATCATTAGCTAATGGGAGTTAGCTAATTTCCCTTTTCTGTTTGGTTAGATTTTTAATACATCAAATTTGATTTTGTTTGCATAACACATATGTGCATATCAGTATACAGATCATGTGGGCCAGGGAGATGGTTCAGTGGCTAAAGTGCTTGCTGTTTAAATTTGGTGTCCTGAATTCAGATTTGCACAAAAGCCTGAGTGAGATAGCCCATGCCTGTAATCCCAGCACTGGGACAGACAGAAACAGGTAGATCTTAGGGGCTCATTGGCCCAGCCATAAAGCTAAAATGGGGAGCTCCAGGGTCAGTGAGAAACCCTGTCTCAAAAAATATTGTTAAAAAATGAGTGAAGAAGACAGACAAGCTCAGCATCTGGCTGCCACATGCACATGACACATGAGCACATGGGCATAGTGAGTGTGCATGTGCTCACACATATGCACCATACACAAAGTATGAAAATCCTAAGTATATAACTCAGCTATTGGATCACAGAAAGCTTCTCTTGGGCTGGGAAGATGATGGTTCAGTGAGTAAAAGCACTGACTGTGAAACCCTGATAACCAGACTGATTGTAAGTCCTGGAATTCATAAAAAGCTGAATGCAGGGACTAGGGATACAGCTTAGATGGTAGGATGTTTACCTAGTGTGCATGAAAAACCCTGGGTTTAATCCCTAGCAGTGCATAAAATTTGGTGTAGTACAAGCCTGTAATCCCAGCACTCAGGAGATAGAAACAGGATCAAATGTTTTAATTGAACACAGCAAGTCCCAAGCCAACCTGGAATACCTGAGACCATGCCCAGATCAACAAAAAAGAAGCTGCATGTGGTGGTTCATATCTGTAATCCCAGCACTTTCATGGAGAGATGAGAGATTGTGGGCCAAGAGCCTGGATACCTTGCCTTCAAAGTAGAAGGCAAGAACTGACTCCTGAAAAGTTGTTGCACATGCACACATGCACGTATCCAGACACTAAAGTAAAAATAGAAAAAATGGTCCCTTATGCCTATTCCCAGTCTGTTTCCTGGCTTGTGCAAGTTTATTTCTCTATTGGGTCTGGATTGTTTGCTGTTGGAGGATATTATGAATAGTTCAGTTAGCACTCTATGGATAACACATTGCTGTGTTTTGTTCATAGCGAAGCTGGGTATTCATTTGTTCATTTTCTAGGGCTTTCCAATTTGGTTGTTACAAATGATGTATTTAGTGCTAATGCATAGGTTTCCTGTTAGTGCATTCCTTACCACCTGTCCTTAGTCTTTTAGAATTCCAACCTGAGGTTTGAATTTTTTTTCCATACTCTGTATGGCCAGTAATACTGACATAGACACCACCCCCAACACACCCCAGCTTTTTGAGATAAGGCCTCATTATGTAGGTCAGGCTGGCTTCGAACTCACAGCCTGCCTTTGCCTCCTGCGTGCTGGGATAAAGGCATGAGCCACCACACCCAACTCTTTTGGCCATTTTAATACAGTTCTGTATTGTGGCTTCATTTGATTGTCATTTTCCTTGTCTTTAGTGTTGATGCATTTTGGAACCATGTGCACTCCATGTGAATATACCTTTGTTTCGTCGATTTTCTATAGGTGGAATGAATGGCTGAATTATGACATATACATTCCTGATCTTCCTCGCGCTGCTCGCCTTTGCCTTTCCATTTGCTCTGTTAAAGGCCGAAAGGGTGCTAAGGAGGTAAAGTATCTCCGATAATAATTTCTCTAGATGTGGTTACCTCCAGAATCCCCTGATACCTCTGATTCAAGCTTCCTTACAAAATGGGCAGGTCTTTGTTTTCTCAGTTTAGATTAGTCCTGCCATGTATGTAACCCACGGTTCCCTTTAACACAGAATTGTCCTTCTCAGCAGATGCAGATGGCAGACGTGTGCCGCCATGCTACTTTTTCTTCATTTAAAGTATTGATTAAAGCCTCCTGAGATATTAGTTAGTGTATCATTTAATAATATATTGGGAGAACTTGAGTAAGGCATTGCTGATGAATGAGTACATACTGATCATATCAGTGTAATTTGTTAAGCTGGGTGCCTACGAGAATTACTACACACCTCACTCCTGCACTAATTCACATATCCCCCTTAAAATAGAGAAAACCACTGAGATTTCTGGTGGGAAAGGCACAGAAAACTCTGATATTATGAAATGCCAATGTAGTCTATGGTAGACTGTATTCCTTTAAATATGGCTAGAACTGTTGAATTCTCCTCCCAAGGAAGAAGTGTTTTTGGAAATGTATGATTTATTCACAGAATTGTGAATGTTTTCTTTGTTTCATTAAGGAGCACTGTCCATTGGCCTGGGGAAATATAAACTTGTTTGATTACACAGACACCCTAGTATCTGGGAAAATGGCTTTGAATCTCTGGCCTGTACCACATGGGTTAGAAGATCTGCTGAACCCTATTGGTGTTACTGGGTCAAATCCAAATAAAGTAAGCTTTTTATTATCAGAAATTAGTTTTGTTTATGACAGCTAAGCATAACATGTATGCAGTAACCTTTGTTCCTTCTTGTAGGAAACTCCATGCTTAGAGTTGGAGTTTGATTGGTTCAGCAGTGTGGTGAAGTTTCCAGACATGTCTGTGATCGAAGAGCATGCTAATTGGTCTGTGTCCCGAGAAGCTGGATTCAGTTACTCTCATACAGGACTGGTGAGCTGTACACCCTCTGTTTGTCTCAGCCATAGTCTCTAGAGATGAGCATGTGCTCTGTGTACACAAGAGCTATGAAGCTCAGTCATTCTGGTGTGAATACTACTGAGCTCTGTTGTTCTTTGGGCTACCAGCTCACAAAAACAACACAGAGACTTTTATTAATTGTTAAAGCTTGGCTGAGAGCTTGGGCTCATTTTTTTAACTGGCTCTTATAACTTAAATTAACCTGTTTCTATTAATTTATATGCTGCTGCATGGTTCATAGCTTGTTACCTCATCTCTTATGTGTCGTGCTTCCTCTGTATCAGACTGGTAACTCCACCTTCTTCTTCCCAGCATTCTCTCTGCCCTGAAAATCCTTCCTAGTTATTGGCCATTTAATTTTTTATTAAACCAATCACAGTAACATATCTTTACACATTGTAAAGGAATATTCCACAACACTCTGTAGCAGTACCACAGTATCCTCCTGTCCTGTACTTGTTTGTTCTTGCTTTATTTGACGCCCTATTAGATGTCACTGTGTGTCAAACACTGGTATAGATGCTGTACTTAAGTTGTGGACTAAAGCAGTGTCCAAGGTCGCTTTACATACAGCTTGGTATGGTAAGGACCATGGAGGACGGGTTGGGGAGCAATAGTATAATGAGAGTAACTGATGTGGGTAGAGCTAGCATATATTAGGTGCTAGAAAGACCTCTTTGAGTTAGTGACTGGGAGTTGAAACTAAAATATAAACATGAGTAGAAGTTGGAGGCAGTAAAAGCAACTCTTCGTCACAAAATGTCTCGAGTCCAGGTATCCAGAAATAAATGTTAACCTCATTGTCTAATCCTGACCATAGCTGGAACACCAGAATAATTCAGATCAAAGACCACTTACTCTTCCTTGTTTCTTAATGACAAAAGTGTGGGTGCTAAGAGGTGTTCCTGTTCTAGGTGTCCTCTCCTGTACAAATGATTGCCTTTCATTTGGATTGCTTGTAGGTTATATGAGACCAGCTGACTAATATTGGGCTGAGGTTGTGAAATGTGCCTGTCCAGGAATGAGAGCAGTGCATAAGAGTTTCTTTCCAAGGACATCTTGCTAGACAGTTTAAACTAATTGTCATCCTGTGGACACAATGTAAAAACAAAACCAAATAAACAAGAAACATCTCTTTTTTGGAGTAATGATTACACTTGGTGAGGGTTGAGGTTTTATGACTTGTAGTGTGTTTTATTTATAGAATATATGTAGAACTCTTTGGTTTGCCATTTAGATAGATATGTAGGAATGTTTCTAAGTGTAAGATAATTATGGAACTTTATTTTTCCTAGGTAGTCAGGCATTTTTCAATTTCATTCCTTCCAGTCATGCTCAAGGAAGACTAGAAAAATACAAAGATATAGAGGAGTGGAGAGTATAGCAGTGAAGTGCAGTCATAGTCCATAGTCCTCCTTTCCTCTCTGAATTGCCCAGTATCTTTTGACATCTTCCAAGAAGAGTATAGAGATTTAAATGAGTCTGCAAATACCAGCTTTGTAAAAATGTTTTTCCTTGTGGTGTTTTTAGACATTAATTGGACAGAAATTTTCACTTTCCCTCCTTGGGATAGAAGTTACACAGAAAGCTATTTCATCATTACTGGAAAAATCACAGGAATGTGGGCAGCACTGTTTCTCAACCTCAGCCCTACTCTAACGGCCAAGTGCATCCTTTCTGTAGATTATGCTGCATGTGGCAGCATGCTAAGCTGTATCTAAGGCCTCTGAACCAACCACTAGACACCAAACTGATGATCAAAAAATATATAACCAGATATATAACCAAATATATAACCAGATATTACCAAAGGTCCATGGGAGATGGAAAATCACTCCCCTAGAACCACAGCTTCAGACTCTGATGTTGGTGAGATTTGTCTTGTAAAGGAAATGTCAAATGATACCTCCTCAGAAAGGATAAAATGAGTGAAAGTATTTCCAGTGACAGACAATAAGTCTACTTCTATCTAGCCAGTAATTCAACTGACTGGTAACTAAGAAATGATTCAATTTCTGTATTTTGTGTCAAAAACTTTCATGGTATTTCTTCTGTGTTCCATGATGTATGTGTGTAACACTTTTTATTACTGTAGCATACACTGAGAAAAACAAGGAAGCTAGGCTAATGAGGTGGGTTGGCAGTTGAGAGCACTAATTCTTGCAAAGGACTCACATTATATTCCTAGCACTCTATCATGGCTCACAACCATCTAGTTCCAGGGGATCTAGTGCCTTCGGCTGACCTCTGCAGGGACCAGTTATGCACATGGTACACAGATATACATGCAGGCAAAAACATTCATGTGCATAAAATATTTTTTTAAAAATCTATGAGAAAAGGAAGGGAGAAGGCCTATTTTTGGCTTATGTTTAGGGATTCCTGGGGTAGGGGAGTGGGGCACATGGAGCAGAGCAGCTCCAGGTGGTGGCTGCTGGGAAGGGAAAAGAGGCCTGAGCACAGGCTTCCATTGTCCCCTTTATTCTATCCAGATCTCCTGTCTGTTGGCTGATGTTCCTCTCAGGGTAGGCCTTCTTCCCTCTTCCTCATCCCTCTGGAGTTCCTCACAGCCACAGTGTGCTTTACTAACCTAGGCTTTGCTCAGTCCAGTCATGGGTGGCCATCCAAACTAACCATCACAATGTTGGGCATCAACATTTACTCGATACAGTTCTTCATAAAGAAATACAGAAGGCAGATGTGAAAGGGAAAGAATTCACTCCTTGATCTATAAATGAAAATGTTTTATAATTGTTGAGCAAGAAAAATGGCCATCTTGATGTCTGCAACAAAAGTATGAGCCCTCAGTGCCAAATGTATTTTGAGAGTGCTGTTTACAATTTGGCAAAAATATTTCAAAATGAAGCACATATGAGAAAACTTTAAGTTTATTATACCTAGATTCTTGTTAAATATATTATAATATGGTTTTTCCTGATTTTCTGTAAATTATATTGACATATAAACATTTTTAAAACTAAAATCAATGGAGTTCATTAGATGCCGATGATAGTAATGAGGTTTCTCATCTGGACACATGTAGTAGCCTCCTAACTGATTTCCCTTCTGCTTTGAAACAGCTCCAAAAACTATTACAAAACATAGACTAAATCATGGCATTCATCCCCTAGGTGGGATCACTAAAAACATTCACCCTGAGCTGCCAATTTCACTGCTGACCCCTCCTCTGCTGTAGTCCTCCTCTTATCCACTGGGTGCTTTTCTCACTGGTTTTCTTCCTGTGTCTCCATCAGACCACATTCATCTTTAAAAATCCTTTCTAATAGGTTGGGTACCCTAGGAGTAGGATCTACTTTCTAAGCCTAACAAGAACAACAAATCAGGGCACAGTACACACTTACAAATACTTATTGAAGGATTATGTCCACATAGTACTTCCTCATTCTGTTGTATAGTTTCAGATACATCAACATACACAGACCAGCTAACACAGAAGACTTCTTTTGCTTATACTGTTTCTAAAGGCTAGAGGATGGTATCTGTTTTATATGATATATTGGTAAACATTCATCATATCTGTTGAGATGATCTGTTGTATCTCTTATTTTTTAATTGTGGGAGGTGGCTGTGCATGCTTCAGTTTATATGTGGAGGTCAGAGACAGCTTGATAGAGTCGGTTCTCTCCTTCCACCCTGTGAGTAGTCCCAGGAATCAAACACAGGCTCCAGGCTTATCAGTGAGCATCATTATCCAGTCAGTGCCATCTTGCAGACCCTCTTGTTTTGTATTTTTCTTTTTTTAACATGGTGATACTTTGGGATTATTTGGGGTGTTTGTTATTCAAAGATTCATAGGCAAGTAATCTGTATTTGAAGAGAATAAATCTATTACATGTGATTGTAAGTTCATTACTTTCTGCTTAGTTCCTTAATGTTGAAATGCTCAGTACTTTAGAGAATTAGTTCATCTTTTTATCTTTCTTAATTTGCTTTTTAAATTTAAAAGCTTGCCAACAGTTACAAGGATGATTTAGCAAGGAACATGAAAGAGTTTGCATTTTTATTTTATTATTATGCTTTTTGTTCTCTTCTGCCAGAAGCATTATCAGGCTGTAGTTAGTAGGGTAGTAGGAAGGGCCTCATCAGTGAGAGGAAGAGCTAGCTGCCTTTCTTCCCCTTCTTCACAGTCTCACCTGGCTGGCTGGTGCTCTTAATAACCACATGACTGCATTTGGTCACAAATACTATTTTAAATTAGTTCTGTGAGAAAAATAAATTGTTTTGTGTTAATAAGCCATGTGAGCTTTATTAAAAGTATTTGATTTTTAAAATATATCACTCATGGATCTCAAAGAAAGCCATGTAATGTCATACTTTATACAGAGTAACAGACTCGCCAGAGACAATGAACTAAGAGAAAATGACAAAGAACAGCTCCGAGCACTTTGCACCCGGGACCCACTGTCTGAAATCACTGAACAAGAGAAAGATTTCCTATGGAGCCACAGGCAAGTTGGGGGTGGGAGGTGAGGCTCTCAGTAAGGCAAAGGAATAACCAGCACATCATTTGGTGGTAGTTGTGGAGGTAAGGGTCTCTCACTGTAGCCCAGGCTAGGCTTGTGCTCACTGCATAGCCCAGCTGCCTCTGTTCTTGACAATCCACCCACTTAGCACCCCCCCCCCCAGTGCTGCGATTACATATGTGACCCACTGCTCCTGGCATGTCCTTACCATATTTTTTTAAGGAAATAAAATGTAATTTAAATGTTATTTTTCTTATTAATGATTTTTTCAAAAGTATGGATACAGATATTTCTTTCTAGAGATACATATAAAAGTTGTTTTTGTTTCCTTTCTTTTTTTGTTGCTGTTTATTTGTTTTGTTTGGGGCAGGGTTTCAGCCCAAGCTGTCTTTGAACTATAGGTGAGAATGACTTTGAACTTCTGATCCTTCTGCCTCCATCTCCTAAGTACTAGGATTGCAGGTAGGTGTCACCACACCTGGTTTACAAGGTGCTGGAAATTAGGATGAAACCCAGGGCCTTGAGTATGCTGGGCAAACACTTTACCAACCTAGGTATATCCCCATCCTCAAGCTTTTTAAATTCCTTTTTTTTTTTTTTTTTTTTTTTTTTTTTTGGTGGTAGAGATTTAACCTACGGCCTTCTACAAACTAAGCTACATACTCTACCACTCAGTTTTAACCTCAGACTGACAACATGCTTTCTTAGAATTTTTTAAAGTATAATACAAGCAGGAACACACATACACACACGATTTAGACTATTTACTCATTAATTTAGATGATATATTTGGCAAGTTCCCTACCCCTTTTCCTTAAGGAAGAAAATAATGCCTTAGCCTCACTTGTAAGTCATGCTACTACTTGGCACACTAGTATATTTGTTTCTTTTATTACATTTTATTTATTATTATGGGGTGGAGATTGCATTGTCACAGTGTGCATGTGAAGAGCAGAGGACAGTCTACAGGAATCCGATCCCCCTTCCACTACGTGGACATATCAGCTTGGTGGAAAGCACCTTTACCCATTGGCCATCTCACCAGCTGCCCACACTGGTGGATGTAACTGAAGGAGTTGTAGTTCATATCTTTAGAGAGTGTGTGAAGCACACACCTTGTCCATTAAGCTCATGGCGGTCACAGAGGTGAACGAGTAACATATGTGTGATTGTTCTTAACTGTCAGCCACCATTTATCTTCCATTTGAATCCTTAGTCTTTACTATTTTACTGTATCTGCATAAATATGTAAATATATGCGCAACCATAGTCTTCTACACAAGTTGGCTTTTCAGATAGTAATAAGCCTAGAACTTCCTACAGATGCATGATGGGGGAATTAGATGTTAGACCTTCGCATACCATGTTCTTTATTATCTTCCCCAACAGACACTACTGTGTAACTATTCCTGAAATCCTACCCAAATTGCTTTTGTCTGTCAAGTGGAATTCCAGAGATGAAGTAGCCCAGGTGAGATCATTTAGGGGCTCTTGGACAGAACCTGTGTGTTGCCTAAATCATTAGTTCTCAGAAAATCTGCGTCAACATGGAAGATTAAATACACTATAAATTATTATGATGACTTAATTAAGAAAAACACCAGTCATAATCATTTCATATATAAAAGTAATTATTTTTAAGTGTGGGCGGTATGGTTTTTTTGCTGCAGGGTTTCTCTGTGTAGCCCTGGCTGTCCTAGAACTCTTCTCTGTAGGCCAGGCTGGCCTTGAACTCAGAGATCTACCTGCCTCTGCCTCCCAACTAAAGGCATTTGCCACTGTGCCTGGCTTTAAACTACTTTTAGGGTCCTGTGTTAAAATAGTGTTTTTACATATGATCTACTACTGTCTTTCTCTGTCCACAGATGTACTGCTTAGTCAAAGATTGGCCTCCAATCAAGCCTGAGCAGGCCATGGAGCTTCTGGACTGTAATTATCCAGATCCTATGGTTCGGAGTTTTGCCGTTCGGTGCTTGGAAAAATACTTAACAGATGACAAACTTTCTCAGTACCTCATTCAGCTTGTCCAGGTAAGACCCTAGAAACTGAAAATGCTTCACCCCACATCCCTCCATCGTATCAAAGCAGCCGCAATAGTTTACTAATGGTGGTATCTACTTTATTGATACCAGGTTTTCTAAGTCCAGCCATACTAAAATGGGCCTGATTATCTGAATTTTTGTTTTGTTTTTTTCTAATTCCTCAGGTCTTAAAATATGAACAATATTTGGATAACCTGCTTGTGAGATTTTTACTCAAGAAAGCGTTGACAAATCAAAGGATTGGCCATTTTTTCTTTTGGCATTTAAAGTAAGTCCGATTTTATTCCCCTACCAAATTTTTAGATATGTATAACTCAAAGCAGCATGAATGTCTCTTGCTGCTTTTTTGTTTGGGAAGCCAGCCTGTTGCACAATTCTTTTCTTTGGAATTAAATGAAGTAAGTGTAAGTCAGTACAGAATTCTGAACTGTTAGTGCAAATATTTTCAAAGGGTTTGCTTCCACTTTGAGCCAAGTAAAATTTGCCAGTTACAAATTAATGTTGTCATAGGTGTCATTGTTTACATAGATGAAGTTGTCCCAAAATAAAAATCTTACCTTGGAATTCAGAACAATAATGACGGAGTCCAAGGTTTCATGTGAGAAAATAAGCTTAAAAAAATAAGTGGCTTTTGCAAGTGATCCCAGGACTTTGGGAAGCTGAGGCAGAGGGATCACAATTCTCTGACCCAAAGAAAGAGGGCAGGGTAGAGGGGAGGGGTGAAAGAGGAAAACTATGCAGTGTCATACAGTACTCAGAGTTGTCATAAACCACCTGATTTGGGGAAATTTATAAACAGGTTTATGTTTAGTGTGGCTTTGTTTTTTTATTTTGTTTTGTGTTTTAATTAAGGTTGGTATCTAGAGAAGCTATGTTTAAAATAAGCATAGAGACAGTTAGGAAAATGTGAACATGCTTGAGGGATACTCAGACCTCAGTGAGCTTTTTACCTGCCTCAGTTTACATTATTAATTCTGCTTTCCTATTTTCTTCTTTTATATCGGACATTGAAATTAACTAATGAAAAGTAGCTAAAATAATCCTAAATCAGTAAAATACCTAGTTGTTTGTTAAATTTATTCAGCCAAGAACTACCTGAAACATTTGATTATTTTCTTCTAAATGGGTAACTTTTTAATCATTGTATTATTAAAACATTTATTGGGCTAGAAAATGGGTTTTCCTATCTTCTAAGAAAGTATATATGCTCATTTAAGACTATATATAGATCAGTGCCTGAATTTGAATCAAAACCAAGCGCACTTCCTTTCTGCATTTATCAGTTTTCCTGGCACCACCTCTTGGTCAATATTATAGTTTTGCCTTGTTCAGGCATTTAAAAAAAAAAAAAAAAAGACTATTTGTAGGGCTGAAGCAATGGCTCAGTAATGACAGCATGGTACTCTTCCAGAGGACCAGAGTTGAATTCCCAGCACCCACATGACAGCTCACAACAATCTATGACTACAATTCCAAGTAATCCAGCACTCTTCTGGCCTCCACGGGTCCTGAATGCACATGGTGCACAGATGTACATGCAAGCAAACACCCATATACATAAAATGATCAAAAATTAAAAAGACTATATATACACATAAACTGTGCTTATTCTTTTAGATCTGAGATGCACAATAAGACCGTCAGTCAAAGGTTTGGCCTCCTGTTGGAGTCCTACTGCCGTGCCTGTGGGATGTATCTGAAACACCTGAACAGACAGGTAGAGGCCATGGAGAAGCTCATCAACCTAACTGACATCCTCAAACAGGAGAAGAAGGATGAAACACAAAAGGTGTGTGAATGTGTCTCCCATGGACTTGGACTGTTGAAATGAGGCGGAATTACTTAAAAGCCCAGTATACAATTAGATCATCATGGTCTTTGCAATTTGGACTCAAATTCCACTGTCTGCCTGCTTTGTGATTAAATAGATTATGTAGGCTCCTAAGACTCATCTTCTTCAATTGGAAAATAGTACTTTGAACTTAGTGGTTGTGAGAAGGAACTTCATCATATGACCTGGGCAAAGTTCCTGTCATCGTCCCTTGAATGTAAAGAGGTGCCCACTATGTACTGTTTTCATGTAGCTGTAATTAAAATAATCTTTTCTCATCTCATTTGTGATTTTAGTAATGACCCTGACATAGGTAGAAAGAAGTGAGTTTAACTGGACTCAGTAAACACCTGCCGTGCTGAGGTCCTCAGGAACTTTTCCCATCCCTCTTCACTGCCAGTTGAAAAGCAAGCGTTGCCTTCCCTCCAATGAAATAGGAGAATCCATTCACCAGTGAGTCCCAAAAGGCAAAGAACAGAAAAACAGCTTTTTTTTTTAAAGTTGCAGCAATTAACAATATAAGAGAAAATTACTGTATTAATTTAGATTCCTTAAGATATGTGATTGAATTGACTCTTCTAAAATTGTGTGGTATATAGATTGGTAGAAATATATGGAAAAGGCCAGGGTGTAGTTGTTGGTGGTATATGAATTGCATGAACAACTTCAGTCCCCAGCACCACATAAAACAGGCTTGGTGTAGTGTGTAGTACATGTAAATAAGTAAATAAGTAAATGTAAAAACAAAGAAAATTTAAAAAGGATGTTCCCATTTCTGATATGGTGATTATGGGCAACAGGGAACTGCTTTGAAAAAAAAGTATTATAATTGCAGTAGTTTGAAAAGCTTCACAACAGATAGTTTGTTAAGTGTTGGGGTCTTCATATCACAAATGGACTTTGTACCACAGTTTCATTAGAAATTGGAGTTCATCACTCAACAACTTAGCATCTCAAACGATTATGATGAGGAACTGGTCACACTCCTGGCATACAAATGGTTCCTGTGGATAGTTCTGTGTTTATACTAGAGTATGGTGGGCCCTGTGCTAAACAGAAATCTCTGTCTTTTATGTCTTTACTCAAAAGATCTGCCTAGTCAGTGGTAATGAGATTTTCTAGCTACTCAGTATAGAGAAGTGTGGAAGACTTCATTACTCAGATTCCAATGGGAAAATTATGAATTCCTGGCTCCTAACCTCTTTTGTTCTATCACATTTTATTAATGTTTTCAATAAATGAAAGTTTCCTTAAAAACAGAAACTGCTTGATAGCTCTGAGTTGGTGGATGGATCTTCATACTATAGACGGCATATAGTGTGTGATTCTATGTATCAAGTGATTTTCCAGATTCTTTAATCCTCAGTGGTTTTTCCTAACAGAGTGAATGCTCAAAGTTTTCTGAAAAGCCTTAAAAGTAAGACTATCAAGCTCAGATCTGAAGTAGCCTGGTCTCTTTGTTTTCCTTCTCAAAGAATCACCAGACTTCCTCATTGAAAGTCAAGTAAATCCTTGACTTTTCAGATAATATAATCTGGCCTCTCCTATTGAACTCAGTTGTGAGACCAGTCAGTGAACAAATGGCAGGACAGTGTTTGTAATACAACTTGATTTACAAAAAGCCACAGCCTATCTTCAGGCAGTACTTGAATAACTTTGCTTAGAGCTGTGTCAGCTGGTAGAGCTCATCTCCCAGAGCCACCCTGACCCCTCCCTGATAGTACTGCCTGAGTCATGGACTTGCCAGTCACCAGTTTTCATGGCCTGGGAAATGGAGGTGGACTTCACAGCACTGCATTCTCAGTGTGTGAAGGAAGCTGCAGATGCTTTCCCCTTATGAAATGCACTTCTCACTCAGATTGTGCTTTTTTTTATCAGGTACAGATGAAGTTTTTGGTTGAGCAGATGAGACAGCCAGATTTCATGGATGCTCTGCAGGGTTTTCTGTCTCCTCTAAACCCTGCTCATCAGCTAGGGAACCTCAGGTAAAGTTTTTATGGCCTTTATTGCCATGCTTAAATAAGTATTTTTCCAAATAAGTCTTAACAAAAATCTGATAGTCCTCCAGTTCTTGTAAAACAGCAGTAGTAAAATAGTCTTAAACTAGACCTACATTTATTTAAAATCAGTGTCTGCTACTTTGATAATAGTTTAACTCTTTGTATGGTTAGAAACCATAGACCATAAACAAAAATGGGGATGGTCTGTATAAAACTAATGATGTCTTCTTAGGTTGGTGGAAAATTTATGTGAACATTTTAAAGATTATTTTCTTTTGTAAAAGTCTTAGTTCTTGTAACACTTCAAAAAGCTCTCTATTGTGTATGTAAACCCAGAGACCAAAAGTATAAAAGCTAAGGTGCCTGGTAAAGTGTTCAACTGTCTTACAGACTTGAAGAGTGTCGAATTATGTCCTCTGCAAAAAGACCACTGTGGTTGAATTGGGAGAACCCAGACATCATGTCAGAGCTACTGTTTCAGAACAATGAGATCATCTTTAAAAATGGCGATGGTGAGGAGAGCCCTAGTGAGCTCATGCTGTGTGCATGTTGCTGTCTTTATACACAGGATATTTATGAACCATGGAAACCTTTGAAAGCCATTTAAGGATTACTGTAGAAAATCTAGAATATTAAAATGTCTCACATTTTACAGTGTGCATGTCAAGGAGTTTGGGAAATGGGATACTGTACTTTAATGAGTTTGAACTCAGGATCTGGAGAAAGTAGGTATATGCAGTCACTTCTCAGCTAACCTCTTCTGCCTTGAAAGTAGACTTCTGCCACAAGGAACTCACTTGTCATGCATCTTAGCAACCAGGGGAAATAACTGGAGATGGACTCCTGTAATTCTAACTCTAGTAATCCTCCCCAACTCCAAAGTCAGTATGCATGAGTCAGGAAGCAAAACTGGCATGCCTCTGCCCTCATTCATTCCTGGGATGGGCTACAAATTAAACTGACAGAAGCCAGAAGCCAGACTGGGGGGTGGGGGGGGGGGGGGTAAAGTATATACATATGCTTAAGAAATCATCCAGAATCTGAGACCCCAAAGAAAGGCCAAGTGGCTGAATCTGATCTATCCTCATGTGCTATACTGAGGCTGGGCTGGAGGAAGGCTGGCATTACAGGCAGGTAAATTGTACAGAACAACAATCAAAGTTGTTCTAGCTGGATGTGGTTACACACAACTGTAATTGCAGCACTTGGGAGTTGAAGGCAGGAAGACCAGATGTTCAAGGTCTTCTACAGCTAACCATCCAATTCAAGGCCAGCCTGAGCTACATGAGACTCTGTTTCAAAAAAGAAAAAAAAAGTTATCTCAGAAAAGTCCTGAAAACTAGGTACTAGTCTGTCAGGACCTGATCACAACCTCCAGCTTACTGTCAGCCTGGTGTCACCTTCCTAACTGAGGTGTAATTTGATCTTCTTCAGATTCAGGAGCCCTGAAGTCAGTGTCTGCCTTAGCTTGCTTCCTGTGTGCATGGGTGGTTTGCATCCATTCATGCCTTAAGTGTTCTGTGTGCTGGACCCTGGGACTATGGCAGAGCCTGCCCATTTGTAGCTTAAAGCCTGGCTGGGAAAAGAATATTCAACAGACAATTCAAAAGTGAAAGAACCATGAGACAGAATGTATTTAGTCTTCTGAGAGACTGTTTAGGTCCTGATTTCTGTAGAGAATTGGGCTACAGGAAAAGGGGAGGCTCACCAGTGTTGACCCCTGCATTGCATTATGGGCCACATTTACACATAGTTCAACACATCTGACAACAGTGTTGATATGTATTTGCATTTCAGATTTACGGCAAGATATGTTAACACTTCAGATCATCCGGATTATGGAGAACATCTGGCAAAACCAAGGCCTTGACCTTCGGTAGGTAATCAGAGCATGGGATAGATTATCTTAATAGGAAGATTCCTCCCCTCCCCCAGACAGGGTTTCTCTGTAACAGCTCTGGCTGTCTTAGAACTTTGCTTTGTAGACCAGGCTGGCCTCGAACTCACTGAGATCTGCTTGCCTCTACCTCCCAAGTGCTGGAATTTAAGGTGTGTGTCTCCACTGCCCAATAAAGTCTTAGTGGTAGAAGTTTAGAAGCCTATATTAAAGCTGTTTGCAAAACATACAAAAAAAAGGTGCAGTAGTGATTAAGAGGTGGTCTTGATTGCCTTTTCATTTGTACTATTGCTTGCCCCAGAAGCTGCTGAGACTCATCTAAGTGAAAAGAGCTGTCTCATGATGCCATAAGACTGTCCATGCCCTGGAGTACTCCATTAGGAGTACAGCAGACTTATTAAAGTTCAAAAATGAGGCTGCACAGATGGCCAGTGGTTAATAAGCACTTGCTGTTCTTGCAGAAGAGTGGAGTTTGTTGCTAGCACCCACACTGGATGGCTCACAACTCCCTATGACCTCAACTCTAGGGAATCCAGCACCTTCTTCTGACCTTCACAGGCACCCACACATATGTGCACACATACAAACACAAATAAAAATTTAAGAATATTTAAGTTCAGAAGCAAGTTTTATCATAGAAATTTAGTAATTCTAAAGCCACCTTTTCATCAGTTTTGTCAGAAAACTGCTGTTTCTATCAGTTTCCTGTTCCATCAACTGTTCTCTGACCCCTTGTATTCTCTTCCCCTGACTTTGCAGAAATGTTTTATGCTCTCATAGTCATTGCTTCTAATAGTGCTTCTTTCTCTGACTTGACTCTTGCAAATTCATAAAAATCACACAAGCAGAAGCTGCCTGCTCTAAAGTGCTTTGGTCTGATTGACATTGTCTTAGTTACTGTTCTGTCACTGTGAAGAGACATCGTAACCAAGATAGCCTTTGTGAAAGGAAGTGTTTAATGGGGTTGGGGGGTTGTTACAGTTTTAGAGGGTTATTCCATTATCATAGCACAAAGCAGACAGGCTTAGTGCTGGAGCAATAGCTGAGAGCTTAACTCCTGATCTACCTCCCAGCAGACAGAGAAAGGGACACTGGGCCTGGCATGGGCTTTTGAAACCTCAAAGCTCACACCTATCAACACACTTCCTCCAAGAAGGCCATATCTCCTAATCCTTGCCAAACAATTCACCAACTAGGGATTAAACTTGCAAATATATGAGCCTCTGGGTGTTACTCTCCTTCAAAAAATCACATTCCACTCACTGTCCCCCATAGACTTATGCAAAATACATTTAGTCCCATAGTCTTTTACTATCTCAACACTGTTTAAAAAGTCCAAAGGCTCTTCTAAGCAAAGGCACTCTTTTAACTGTAACCCCTGTAAAATCAAAAAGCAAATTACATACTTCCATCATTCAATAGCACAGAGTATGTGTTATTCTAAAAGGGAGGAAGGGAGCATAGCGATTGAATACTGGACCAAAGCAAGACTGAAAACCAACTGGGCAAACTCCAGATCTGCATCTCCATGTCTGATGTTAAAACTCTCTTCAGATCTCCAACTCCTTTCAGCTTTGACCACAGACGAAGAGCGCTCCAGAGCTGTGCACCTGTCAGCACCACGACTCCAGCGTGACTGCAGGCATTGTTTATCTCTTTTTAATACTCAATATAACAAGATAGAAGTACCTAAAATCACTTATTCCACATCCCCATATGTGGCTAGGTCACAGATTTGTGGGTGTAAGTTTTAAAACTATCTGCTTTTTCATGGAATACCATTTTTACTTTAAAAACAAACTTATAGTCCAAGTATAGATACATGCTTCAAGCCCTGCAGTCAGAATACTAAGGCTAAGAAATCCAGTTCATATCAACCTTGACTACCTAACAAGACCAGGGCCATCATGGGCTACATAGCAAATTCCTCTTCCAAAAATACCAAACCAAAATATCTAATGGACAAGGAAAAATTGAGTTAGGCTATTTGGCAGGTGTTTTCTTTGAAAATAAACACCCTTGTGTGTCTATGAGGAAAACTATGGCAGTATTTGTTGCCAGTGATAACATTTGAGTTTTAGAGGAAAAATTAGAATTGTGAAAAACCTGTTTATCAGTATTATCAGCTTTGACTCTCTGAATGAGATTAATGGTAGCATTAACAACTCCATATTTGAGAGGTAAAGACAGGAAGAATGGCAGGAGTTCAAGGTTAACTTTATCATTATAGGGAGAATATCAGGATCCTAGCTCAAAAAAAACAAACCAAAAAATACATGTTTTATTTTTCATTATGTCATAACAAAAAAAGCATCAGCATTTAGAAAATCTATAAAACTTATAAGCTGGAGTATCTTCTAAATGATCAGTGCAGGAACCCATAATGTTCTTAATGTTAAAACACACTTTCAGACACAAGTCACTTTAGATTTAACAGCATGAGGTTTATTGGTACAATTTTATAGTCCACATTGCAACTTGAATATCTTACTAATTATAGAAGTACTTTGTACTTCCTTTTCCTGGCTACCTGTATATAGATGTTTCTTCATGTGCTTAATTAAAGCATCACATATAAAACTAAGAATGATGACACATAACTGTAACCCATACTCTCAGGAAGGTGAGGCAGGAGGATCTTGAGTTTTTGAGGCCTGCCTAAATAAGGCAAGACCTTGTTTCAAAAAGAAAAACAAATCAAACCTGAACTTAAGAAAAATTGCTCGTGTATATTACTTATAGAAATGTATATAAAAACACAGCTGGTTCTGGGGCTCGAGAGATGAGTCAGTGTTTACTAGCAGTTGCTGATCTTAAGAAGAACCCAAATTTTGTTCCCAGCACCCACATAGCAGCTCATAACTGCCTGTAACTCCAGTTGCAGGGGATCCAATGCCCTTTTCTAATCTCTCCAGGCTTCTGCATGCATGTGATGCATGTAAACTCAACAACTGCACATACTTACACATGAAAATAATCAATGACCTGGGCGGTGATGGCGGATACCTCTAATCCCAGCACTTGGGAGGCAGAGGCAGGAGGATCCTAGTGAGTTAGAGGCCAGCCTGGTCAACAAAATGAGTTTTTTGACATCTAGAGATACTACATAGAGAACCCTGTCTTGAAAACCAAAAACAACAACAACAAAATTAATGAATTAATAAATCTTTTTTTAAAATACAGTTGGCCATCAAACCCAAACATAAAAACCGTTTTGAAAAAAATGTGAAAGTCAGTCTTCTCACTGCTTTATTTTTTTAACATTAATTTGTTTTACGAGTATTAATGTTCTGCCTGTGTGTTTGTAAATGCACCACATGTGTGCCTGGTACCTACAGAGGCCTAGAGGATCTCCAGTTATGGATGACTATGAGCCACCATGTGGGTGCTGAGAACCAAACCTAAGTTTTCTGGAAGAGCAGCCAGTGTTCTTAATTGCTGGTCCATCTGTCTCTCCAGTCTCCCTCACTGCTTTTTTCAGACAGGTTGTTTTGTTCAATTGTGCAAATGGTACATTAATGTATAATGGTTTGGTTTTAGCCAAACATTTTCAGGAATAGGTTTGTTGATATAAAAAAGAAAATAGTGATAAGACAATAAATATCATTCATGTTAAATTTACTAATTGAATATAGATATTTTTTGGCCTATTAAAATATTTGCAGTTTTACCAGACCTGAACAAAGATGACACCAGTAGACATGCTAACATGGAGAAGGGAAATCACCTGAGGCCTCAGCCCTAAACAAGACTGCAGGCAGCTAAGGGAAGCTGAAATTGAGAAGCATAGTCTTCCCTGGGGAAGAGACCCTAATTTGATTATTCAGTACCAAATGGTCTGTCCTGAAAACATACATTCAAGTGACATTTTATATAGAGAGTCTGAGCAGCTTGTACTTAGGAAGATTGTGCATGCACACACTTGCCTGTGTGTATGTGTGCATGTATGTGTGTATCAACAAAAAAAATAAAGAGGCCAGGATTTTGAGATAGAGCAAGGAAATGTGTGTAAGAAGGATTAAATGGAGAGAAGTGGAAAAATGATGTTATTATACTTTAATTTCAATCAAAAGTATTTGCTGTTTTAAAATTGTGCCTTTGTCAATTTCCAGAATGCTACCTTATGGCTGTCTGTCCATTGGGGACTGTGTGGGGCTCATCGAAGTGGTGAGAAACTCTCACACTATCATGCAGATCCAGTGCAAAGGAGGCCTAAAGGGGGCACTGCAGTTCAACAGTCACACACTGCACCAGTGGCTCAAGGACAAGAATAAGGGAGAAATGTGAGTTTGCTCTTGGGTTTCTGCCACATGCTGGTGGAGAAAACCATCATAGTCAGAAAAATTCACTTCACTTTTGAAATATTGGAGGTTGTTGTGAGTGACCAAGAGAACTGCTTATGATTTGGTAGGCCCTCATGGTTCCCCTTGTATCTCACTTTCTCTTACTTCTAATAATAAATAAAAGGAACATTTGGTTCTGGCGGCATGGTGCTACAGTTAAGAGTGTGTGTTCTTTTTTTGGAGGACCCAAGTTCAGCCCCCAGTACCTACATGGGGTGCCTTAGCAACCACCTCCAGGGAATCTGGTGGCGTTTTCTGGCTCCATGGCATGTTGACTCAGGTGTGCGTGCCCATCCAGATACAGATATAGATATATAATTAAGTAAAAATAAATCTTGTTCAAAAATAATATACATTCAAATTTTTACTTCTAATTTGTTAAAAGTGATGTTCTAGAAATTAATTTTCAACACTATCAGTGATGGCACACACCTTAATCCCAGCACTTAGGCGGCAGAAGTAGGTGGATCTTTAAGTTCCAGACCAGCCTAAGCTACACAGAGTGGCAGAGACAAAAGCAGATAGATCTCTCTTGAATGCAAGGCCAACCTAGTCTACATAGTGAGTTCCAGGCTATTCGGGGCTGTATAGTGAGACCCTCAAAAAAATTTAATTTTCTCCTGCGGATTGTGGCTTATCCCAGCACCCAAGAGGCTAACCTAGAAGGATTGTTGTGTGCTGTGAGTTCAAGGCCAGCCTGGAGTGCAGTGTAAGATCTTATCTCAGAATAAAAGAAAAATTGGGGGCTGGAGAGATGACTCAGATGATGACCTACTTTTGCATAAGTGTAAAGACCTAAATTCAGTCTCTAACATCCTTATAAAGCCTCCGGGCATGGTCTACAGCCCAGTGCTTTAGGCAGGGAGCTGGGACAGCTCATAGCAGCTGGCTTGCCAGAAACTCTAATCACTTGGTGAGGCCCCCAGGTTCACTGAGAGGCATTGTCTCAAAAAATAAGGTAGTGAGATGCTAAGAGATGGTTCAGTGCTTAATTGAGCACTTGCTGCTCTTCTGAGGGACTCAGGTTTGCTTCCCAGCACCCTGACAGGTTCAACTGCATACATCAAATTCTTACTTTATCTTTAATTCCATGGGATCCTACGCACTCTTTTGACCTCTTTGGGTGTGTATACATTCATGCAAAAATTCACTTAAGTAAAAGTCCCAAATGAATAAGGTTGTGAGTAATAGAAGGCACCAAGTGTTAACCTCTGACCTTGATACATGCACACTTGAGCGTGTGCACTCTCACACACATCACCCACGAGGAGTTTATTTCTTCTCTGTAGATATGATGCAGCCATTGACCTATTCACAAGGTCATGTGCTGGCTACTGTGTGGCAACCTTCATCTTGGGGATTGGAGACCGGCACAATAGCAACATCATGGTGAAAGATGATGGACAGGTAGTAGCCTTTAATTTGCTTTCAGGTTCTTTAAATATCTTAAGTCAAGATCTTTTATGTCTGCACGTTAAACTAAAATGTGATCTCTTATTCTTGAAAGCTGTTTCATATAGATTTTGGGCACTTTTTGGATCACAAGAAGAAGAAATTTGGTTATAAACGGGAACGTGTGCCATTTGTTTTGACACAAGATTTCTTAATAGTGATTAGTAAAGGAGCCCAAGAATATACAAAGACCAGAGAGTTTGAGAGGTGAGCTCAATGACTGCCTGGGGTGGGTAGGTGCTTGCTATCAGCCCAGATGCTGCTACCTGCACTTCAGACCACTGGGTGCTGGCCAGAGGGAGAAGTGCATGTTATAGCCTCTTTTGGGGGGGTGGGGCTGAAAATGAAAACTGATATCATTCATTGAACTAAGTGAGGCCTACAAAGATAGTAACCTTTAAAACTTATAACACACTGAAATTATTGGCTGTTGTTAAAGTAATTCACTTTATCTTGCCAAATAACATGTAGTGTGGTTAGGACAGGGGTTTTGGTCCTAACCTGAGGAAAACCAGCAAACTGTAACTCTTATGCATAATTACTCTTTTTCCTGCCACCTTGTGGTACATTGTTAGTCTATCTTAGATTTCAAAGAACTTTTATATAATTCTGTTTTGTGTATAAGTCAGTCCCCTGGCCTTAGATGCCTAAACCCTTCAGGCCTTACTTTAGTATAGACCAGTCCAGCCGTTTAATAAATACTAGACCCCAGTATTTCAAGCACCATTTCAGGTCCTTGGCAGGCAATAAAGCATTCATTCACAGTGTACACATTCTAGAATGGTGTGAGATATGGGAGCAGGGAGAGGAATCGTAGGTTTTAGACCTTTGCCCAAAACAGCTGAGCCAATTCTATAAAGTCCAGAGTACTAGTTCTTGCACTGACCAGGTGTTCTTCCACTTGCAGATTTCAGGAGATGTGTTACAAGGCTTACCTAGCAATTCGGCAGCATGCCAATCTCTTCATCAACCTGTTTTCAATGATGCTTGGCTCTGGAATGCCGGAACTGCAGTCTTTTGATGACATTGCATATATTCGAAAGACTCTGGCCTTAGACAAAACTGAGCAAGAGGCTTTGGAATATTTCACAAAACAAATGAATGATGCACATCATGGCGGCTGGACGACAAAAATGGATTGGATCTTCCACACCATCAAGCAGCATGCATTGAACTGAGATGGGAGCTGGGAACTGCAAGCTGGTGCACAGTTTCTCCACTGCATGGCAGTGAGTGGCAGCAGGCAGACGTTGGTGCGGGGATGGCACAGTCAGGAACAGCATTAGGACTTGAGCAAGAACAGAAACAACATGCTCTATAATTGAAACACTGTACACGCAAACAGGGTTTGATAGCACTAAACTAGTTCATTTCAGAATTCAGCTTTAGAATAATGAGCAAGTTCATGTTATGCCTTAAGTCCAAAAAAAGGTAAACTTTGAAGATTGTTTGTATCTTTTTTAAAAAAACAAAAACAAAAACAAAAATCCCCAAAATACATACAAATGATGGAGATGAAAAGAGAATGCTGTTCTGTTTGTCTTGCCAGGGTTCTGTTTAAAATGTGGACACAACCAAGGCTGTGACTGCTTTAGCTCTGAGTAAGCTGCAGCTTCTGTTAAGTACATGAAATTGGAGAAGAATGGAAATCCTTATTTTCCCATTGCTGTTCAGACTTATGATTTGAAGTGGGTATTTTGACTCCCTGCTTTATGAGGAGCAACACTTGGGGTGAAGGGACTTGCCTTTTGCTTTGAACAAACAACCCTTTGATGGATTTAGGGTCTCTCACCTGTGGTTTTGAAAGCAGTCACAAGTGATAATCTACAGACAGCTGTGTTTTTGTTGGGTTTTGTTTTTTGTTGGTTTTTTTCTGGACAGTATTTACAAGGATTTGACTTATTTCCTAGGGAAATTCTGGGCTCACATCAAGTACAGCAGTGATCATAGAGGAGGGACAGCAGGGGCTCCTGTTTCTGACCTGTACAGTATTCACTTTAAGCTGATTGTTTCTCCTTTTGCAATTGAACTGAATACTTTTTTTCATGCATGTTTTCCAGAAAATAGAAGTGAGTATTAATGTTATTAAAAAGATTATTTTTTTTTATTAAAGGCTATTTATATTATAGAAACTATCATTAATATATATTCTTTATTTACATAATCTGTCCCATAGTCATGCATTGTTTTGCACCCCAAATTTTTTATCATTGGTAACAGCATGGTTAGCTTTTCTCTTGTCTATAGGTGAGGCTCAGGCACTATTCCATTTATCCAGATCCTCTGTATGACTCCCTAAGGAACAGGTTGAACTGCACATACTTTCCTTCCACTGCTGTCGTTTCTACACGATGCCCTCATCATCCATGCATCTATAGTTGAGAATGGCACAATCATATGAAACCAGTTACTAAATGAATACCAAGTAGACTATCATCCTGACTCTTAAACCCTTCTACTGAGGTCTGGTCATGAATGACTTTTTATATTATGAGAGACTAGAAACCATGAATTTTTTACCTTTGTAAGCTATGTATCCATATCTCAATGATAAAAGTAGGACATTAACCCATTTTACTATCATGTCCCATTTCAAAGTGGTCAGGTCTCCAACTTCATTACATCCCATTCAAGCACAGAATGCGTTATTGAGCATCCTGAAAAGCATCCATCCAAGATGTAGGGCTAATGTTAGTGGTCACTCTAGATTTCTACTCAGTGTTTGAATCATTCATGTCCTTGAAAATAGCTTTAGCAGATATTCAGATGCCACACCAAAAAAAAGAAAAAAGAAAAAAAAAAGAAAAAGGAAAAAAAATCGGAAAAAAAATAAATAAAAAGAAAAAAAGAAAAAAATGTGCAATAATTTACTGACAGTTCCTAGCTTAGGTGTGTTAATGGAGAGCCTCTTTATTAAGAGCGCACACTGTACACTCTAGAAAAACAGCATCCCTTTAAAAGCGCTCATCTGTGAGGTCAGACACCTATAGTAGAAGTTTTGAATAGTAAACAGGGGACTCTAATAAAAATACTCTTATTATCTGGCTATTTTAGAACCCTTAAAGGGCATAATTATTGAAGATTTAGGTACTTCACTAAAGCATGTATATATTATTGCCAACAAGAAAAACCTGAAGATTAGGGGAACTTAGTTCTGTAAACTGTCTTGGAATGTTAATCAGAATTTAAACTGTTTTAAGCAGAAAACCAGATAGATTCTTTTGCAGATATAGAAAACTTCCTAACTTATTTAAACTTGGCATTTAACACTTTGTGTTACTTAGATATGCAGTTGCTAGGTACTAACATCCCATTCTTTTCTGTATCAGGGATTATTACAATCAAACTCAGTGACATGGTACAAATCTACAACTTTAATGGTGGAAACTAAAGAATTACAAAGAACTGTGTTTTCCCGAGTGCCAAAAAAAAAAAAAAAAAAAAGCCACGAGCCTCCTTGCACAAAAATGATAGCATTTTTTGCTTTTTTTTTTTCCTTTTGCATTAGTTCAAATAGTTATCTAGTACCACCTTCCAGGGTCTCCACACAATTAAAACACAACCACATAGCTTATTTTGCCATTTACAACCACATTAATTGTATTTGAGAAAAAATTTCTATTCTATAAGTGGTATAAGGAGAGAAAAGAGGAAGAAGGAAGGAGAGAAAGAAAGAAAGAAAGAAAGAAAGAAAGAAAGAAAGAAAGAAGAAAAGGAAGAGGAGAATGGGTTGAATTAAAAAAGACAAAAACTTGAATTGAAGCTGGGGTGATCAAAATCTGTTTCCAGAGAGCAATAATGTGCCACTCCCAGGTACTTCAATATCAGAAGGACCTGTGGACCGGTCACCTCTGTAAATGACCATCCTTGTCGTCATTGAATATTGTCTAAATGACTTTGGCTCCATAATTTCACTAAGTCACTTGAGGATGTTTCATCAGTAATTATTTCTGGAAGGAAAGAAAGCAAATCTAAAGAAAGAAACTAAATACACTGTAGCAAGAAGTAACTCCTAAATCATGCTTTCACGTTTTACCATCTCCTCAGCTATAAAAAAAAACCTGTAGTTTGAAGATTTTTAGACTGCTGTTAATTTGAAATCTGTTCATCTTACTGTGGAGTTTGATTTGTTTGTTTGTTTGCTTCCTGTTTGTTTTTAAAGATGTTTTTAATTAGAGTTTTTTAAAAGAAGGATGGAATTTGGTTGCTATTTCATGGTAGAACCTGAGACTTTGTGGTTCTTCATGTCCTCTGTAAAACTTGGTGTCAGAGTCATGAGATTTGAGGTTGTCCCTTCTATTCTGCTTTATATTACTGCCCATCAGGAAATGGGAACCTGGTGAATATATAATGAATTGTAAAATATTTTAATGTGTAACTTTTTCAACTGTGAAACTGACTATTGGTTTTTTTTGTTTTTTGTTTTTGTTTTGTTTTTTTGATGAAAACAGCTGCTGATAAAGTATTTTGTGTAAAGTGTAGTTCTTATTAATCAGGAAATGATTACTCGTTTAGATGTATATGTCCCTTGAACTTTATCTTAAACTCATTAGTAATTGTCATAAGCAAAGCACAGCCCAATTGCATCTCTGCCTATCAGGACTCTGATGGCATCTCAGAAAGGATGAGCAGCCTGTCCTAAGGGTACAGTGGGAACCTCATAGCACATAGACCTCAGTTTGTTCCTTAACATAAGTTTTGTATATTTGTTTGATTTGTAGTTTGGTCAAATAGTCCATGCCTGCCAGCTCTTTGAAGAAATTTAATTTCCAGCAAATATGTTATACCTAGTATGTTAATCTTTTCTGACTATTACAGTGTCCACTGTTCTCTGTGTCTCTGCAAACTGCAACTTGGGCTGGACCCACACACTCAATAATCCACCTTAAGAGTTATTTTCATGTCTATGACATCACTAAAATAGCAAATTCAAATTTGTGGCACTATAGATCATATTGCTTCTGCTTCAGATGTATGGGGGGTGGGGGTGGAGGAGGGCCTGAGCAGGAGAAGGCTGCAAGTTACAAGGATGTATCACACATACTAGAAAGGAATCACTTAAACTCAGTCTTGACAGCATCTTTAATTAGTGTAACTCTTGATAGCAGAGCAATACAGCTGAGCTGTTTTAAACAGACAAGCAAAAGCATTTTAGTGATTAAAACTGCAAACCAATCTTTTTCTTCCTTCTTACCAAAAATCATTTTACTCTCTGGAAAGATGTTGGGCTCTAGCTTAGAAGAATTGTACTCCTGTTAAACCTGTTAACTCCGTCCCCAAAAATTCTTAAGGGAAATAGCTAAGTTGCCATTCTGTGCCTCAGGTCTCACAACAGACGAGCCCTGCATTTTTATGTTTTCAAGTCAGACTCAGCATGCCTTACAGTTCATGGAGACGGCAGGGTGCTAAAATGTCAAGACTCCCGCCACTTGGAAAAGTTATATAGTCAGAGCAGCCTGTGGTGCCGGCCGATTCTTGTCTGTCATCCTTACCTCGTTTACTTTCTTTTATTGTTTTGCTAGAACGGATGGGTCAAGGATCTTTAATGAAAGGTATAAACACATGGAAAGGGTGTTTCCTAAAGTTCAGAAGAGATTTGCTTGCATTAGGAGTCACCCAGATTGCAATGGCAATCTTGAATGAGTTTTTGTGGAATCTTCACTTGGTGAAGGTGTACACCTCTGTTTATTATGCAGTGCCTTTCCCTTTTCTTGGCTTTTGGGTATGGCAGGGTCTAAGCTGTGTGCTTGTTAGAGCAAAGGGAACAGGAATAGAAGGGGATTCTCTCACCTCTCAGTGTCAGAAAGAATGTTTGTTGGTGGACAGGATGAAAGTGAATCTCCATATAGTGTATGGGTGGGTCTGATAGTTGCTACTAACAGTAGACTCCAGTCTTCATGTTAGTAAGTACAAAACAACAACAACAACAAAAAAGTTTTATAAGCCAGGTGGACTTTTGTAGCCTCATCTACTGTACCACAGTCATTTGCAACAGAATGATGTAATTTTTTTCAGTACTGTCTTTGTTGATCTTCTAGGTTATCAAGGAGACAGAAAACTGGCAGTGTTTCCTACTAAAGTATTGGAATGTGGCTCAGTTAGAAGGACTGGCAAGTATGTGTTGAAACCCTGGGTTTGAGCCTCAGCACCACACAGAAGGTACAACAACACATGCCTATAATCCCAGCACTAGGGGTATAGAGACAGGAGAATTAGAAGTGCAGCATCATCTTTAGCCTCATTAGTAAGTTCAGAGCCATCCTAGGATCCTTGGTCTTCAAAACTTCTAGTATGAATTTTCAAATGTAGTTATTTCTGTTGGTCCATAAGAAAAAAAATCATTTGTCAGATTAAAGTGTGGCCCTAAGAATGACTGGGAAAATGTGGCTTTTATCTAATATCTAGAAATGGTTTTGATTATGGAACCCAAACAATATGTTGTGGTGATGGTGGTTTTTTTAGGGTTTTGTCATTTTATGTTTGTCATTTTATGGTCTCACTGTATAGCCCAGGCTGGCCTCAAACTCAAGATCCTCTAGTCTTAGCTCCATAGTGCTGAGAATACCAGTGCCATATGCCCCCCTCCCCAGGCTCCAAGAGTCCACGTTTCAAATGCAGTTGATGGTTTTATTATCATTCTGTCTTTAGATTTAGCTTGGCTAAATGAAATCCAAAAGAATACATTGTTTTCAAACATAATATTTTAGTATCTTGAGAATAAAGCACTACTGAAAAAACAACTGCACAATGGTGCAAGGAGCTTGCCCCTCTCAGCTGGATTGTTTCTCTCCACTTTGTTTATTCAGTGAGTTGAGGTTCTGTGTAAGGACTAGTTAGAAACATTCTTGCTGGGCAGTGTAGCACATACCTTTAATCCCAGCACTTAGAAGGCAGAAGCAGGCAGATCTCTGTGAGTTCCAGGATAGCCAGGACTACACAGAGAGCCCTGTCTCAAAAAGAAAGAAAAAGAAACATCCTTAGTATTCTTTTAATTCTTGCCCTAGATGTGCTTAAGTACAGCAAGGTTCTATATGCTGTTGACTTAGAGCAGCTGTTCTCAACCTGTGGGTCTCAACCCCTTTGGGATCAAATGCCCTTTCACAGGGGACACCTAAGACCATCAGAAAACAGATATTTACATTATGATTCATAACAGCAAAATTACATTTATGAAGTACTATCAAAATAATTTTATGGTTGGGGGTCACCACAACATGAGAAACTGTATATAGTAAATGTTCTCAGCACTAGCAAGGTTGGAACCACTGGCTTAGAATGTAGACAGCTACAGCTTCACTAAATTGAAGACCTCTTTTGTCATACTGTTCCCTGCAAGGAGTGTAGCCTATGACTGCACCTACTGTGTTAATCACTACTGTCAGTGTCTTCTTGTCCCTAACTACACAGTCTGTATCATCACTCTGTTCATTAAATGAAAAGAAAACTTGCCTTGTGTCTACATGGTCCTCAGCATGGGGTGTAAGCCAAGAGCCTGAGAATCCCTTTTGCTGTTTCTCTTCACAGGCAAACTAGTGTTGCTGTGAATAGAGTCCAGTTAGATTCGAGTTTGCTATATAATTAATAAGAATATATAATTAATATATAATTAATATATATATAACTATATAATTAATAAGATTGAAAAACTGGATCAAGCCAGGCATGGTGGCACTCCCAGCACTCAGGAGGCAGAGGCAGGTGGATGTCTGTGAGTTTGAGGCCAGCCTAGTCTACAAAGCAGGTTCCAGGACAGCCAGAGAAACCCTGTCTGGAAAAAAAAAAAGAAAACCAGGTTTGTTTGCTTATTTGTTTGTTTTGGGTTTTTGGTTTTTTTTGTTTTTTTTTTTTTTTGCTTTTTTTTTTCTTTGTCTTCCCTGCCAGTAAGTACTAGACAAAGGAATGCTTTCTCTAAAGCATAAAAAACTATTAATATATACCTTGGCTAGTATGCTAGCATTCACAGTATCTCTGTGGTAGAACATGCCTACCATAGTTCATAAGGCTGTAGGTTCAATTCCCAGTAGTAAATAGAAAAATTAGAGGCGTGAGTACTAAAAAACAGATTTAGGTGCTTGTATTTTAAACCGGTATGTAGGTACATAGGAGTAGTATGAGTATATGGATAGGAAATTGGCTATTTTCTCACATCTGTTGGAAACTAGAGTCTGTACATGAAGTCAGTTTAGAAGCAGCCTGCTTTGCCTTCCGTTATAAACAGTGCAGATGACCTGCCTTTGACTGGTACCAAGACATGAGCATTGATGCTTCTTGCTTTCACAATAAACCTGTCACCACTTAAATTTTACTAGTGCCAGGTGGCTTGAACTTGTAACTGACTCTGTTCTCCAGCTTAATGCCTGTATTTCCTGGGATGAACCATTAGTTATCTGCTTAGGAAACCTCTGTGACTGATGAAACACAGGAGGCTTCAGGATTGAGCATGGTAGGGGAAAGCACAAAAGCTGTATATTGTCAAGTTGGGAGTCAAGTTTACTAGGAAATGGATTTGAGATTTATCTTTAATTTGAAAAATAACAGAATCTCCATTTACAATTTTTCTTGGGCATGCATGGTGTTTTTTTTATTATGGGGTTTGGTATACAAAATGACATTGACAACCATTACACAGCAGATCAGTTAGCCAAGGGATGAGAGGGTGGGATAGCAGAGAGACACCTGTCAGAGCTTACCAGACCCCCCACACACACACCCCCCACACACACACACCAAATGTGACCGTGTAGGCCACTGCAGCTCAGCATAAAGATTTCACAGCTACTGGCATCTCCCTTACTTTTGCAAGTCACCAGAAACTAAGTTTGCTGTCTCTACCCCCTCCCCCATCTTTGTGTCTGAAGACCATCAAAAGAGACATTTCCCAGTTGCCTACACCTGAAGCAAGCCTGCCTGAAGCATGTTTCCCTCAGCCCAAAGCAGAGAGAAGGGGAGAAGCCAAGACTCCATTGCCTATCACCGTCACTCTCCAGACTGAGCCACGTTGCTAATTTGGGACTTGAATTTAACTACTAACAGGCTTCAAATTGGCTTAGAATCAGGTGTGACTCTGATTCCACCAACATGTCAAAAGTTGTTTCAAAAGTCTCATTCTGTTGTCTAAATTGAAGGGTTTTCATTTTTGTGTGTGGAATTGTAAAGATTTGTTGAGGTACTTCAGAAAAACAGCAAGCTCTTAGCTCACATGTTCATCTTAAGCTGGAAGACCTTGCTGGAAGTCTTGTGACATTTACGGAGCCACCAAAGTTGACTTTTCTACCTTTTACGTGTGTGAGTATTTTGCCTGTATGGATGTATAAGCAACACACTCATGTAGTGGCTGCAAAGGCCAGAAGCGGGTTGAGTATCTTGGGACTGAAGTTACAGATGTTTGTGAGCTGCAATTTGGGTGCTGGGAAGCAACTGTTCTTACTTGTTTTGTTTTCATGGACAGGGATTCTCTGTGTAGCTATGACTGTCCT